TTGTGGTAGTAATAAAATAATTTTTAGTAACTTTATTTATTAGACTAATGCCAATTCTGCTGACCTTTGGAAATATTATAGTTTAGCGACTAAGAGTCATAAAAATAGAGACATCTTGACTAGTCCTGCACAGTTGATTAAGTGGAATTTTTTGATATTTAAATATTTTGAAAGAAGAAAATCAAGACCATTTGCTGAAACAAACAAAAAAATAATATGTAACCTTCAAAGAGATTACAGTTCCTAACTCTGTCTCATGTAAGAAAAAAAAAATCATGCACACAACCTGCATGGGCCTCTCCCAGAGTAAGAGAGGCAGACAACACGTATGACCGTACCCTTGCGTCTCTAATTCACGTATCTTAACTCTCTAAGAGACCCCTCAAAAGCATCACAGAGGTCCATGGGCACAACGACCAAGACCACAGAAAAATGCTTGTATGAGTCCCTTTCACTTCACTTACGCCAAAGAGCAGGACAGACTTAGGTCAGTCTAAGGGGCTTCACTCGGCTGGGTGGGGCAGGAGATGCGTTATCAGCAGGGAATGAACTTACGGAGGGTCTCCTTCCAGAGACCAGCGATAGATAGCTCCTACGCTACGCTAACCCACAAGTCAAAGAAACAGTTGTGTCTCTTTTCATATCGGATAATTACATAAAATACATTTTTGAAAGTCTGCAATTATTTACTTACATAGTATTTTGTAATGACCTGCAGAAAAGTAATTACCATCTTTGTGCCAAGCCTCACAAGTGCTTTGAACATCAAAGATGCCAGGGGTGATAACATTATGACAATGATAAAGACACACAATGGTTTAGGCTGTTTGTGGGCTTACTTGTCCTCACCTTGCCACACCCTGCTCTTTGACAGAATCAGTGAGAAACAATTTTGGCAACCTCTGTGGAGTGAATATTCTTTTAGGATCTTATAAGATTAAATGAGATAATGAATAAAAATCCCTCAGGGGTGGAGGATGCTACTTAAATACTGATTGTAAGGTGATAAGGCCATGCTTGTCATTGTGAGTATGGGAGGGGAGGGGAACCAACCCCTGTGGGCCTCATCCTGCCCTCCAATGTCTCCAGACTGGTTTCTGATAAGAAGCATTTGAGTTTTCTCATTCTGCTGAATAGGAACTAAACTCATTACAATACAGGAAGCCCTACTGATCAATTACACGACAGTAATTTATTGTTTGGTCATGAACCCATGACTGCTGCTATTATTTTTGTTATAATATTGAAGGCTATTCAAGGTTAAGGAAATATTTCCTCAATCTTTGTTTTGTGCTCGTGAACTTCAAGACATCTGGCTTTGCATCTTTATTGGTGGTAAAGGAGGGACTGCAGGTAACATACGTTTATCATCTTATTCTCTCTATACCTTGCCTCCATGAGGGCCACAGCAGGGACAACACAATATAGCATCCATCACTGTCATTCTCGTAATTCATTAAGGTCTAGCATTTGTAGCTACACATGAAAAATTACTCGGGGCGGTGGTGGGGGATGGGGGAGATACCCAAAAAGGAAGTTGTAAAATCGGATTCTCTGAAGATCTTCAAGTACGTTAAATGATGATCTTCCTTTGGAATGGTCTTTTAGGATGAAATGGAATTTCCTTAGGAACGGTACTTCCTGAAAGATCTTTCTGGTTGCTCTTATTCCTATGATCCCTTAGAAAAGAACATGATCACGCTATTCTTCCAACATTGTAATGAAATAGTTATTTTCTCCTAGTATGTTATTGACCATTTGTGAATGGCTCCCACCTGCTTTTAGCGCTACACACATCATTTTGAATCTGTATAGTAATAATGACAGCAAACACTGAGGACTTCTACGGGCTAGGCACAGTGCTCAGTGCCTTATGAATGCCATCTGAGGATCCACTCACCTAAATATTTAAATTTTTGTTTGTTTGCTTTACCTCTGCTCTGTGGTGGATCCATTTTACAAAGCAAATAATCCCCTTTAAGAGTTCAGATTTTTATCCACTTGACTCATTTAAGCTAGTGCTTGCCTGCATATTAGATACAGATAAGCAATTATTACAAAACAACTTTTGGTTCATACTATCAGCTGCACTCTGTGGAGCACATAGCGTGTGTGCAGTGTGTGGCAGTATTTTATATAAAGCATCCCACGGTCCCTCACAGTAACTCTAGGAGATTAATATTATGTCTCTAATTTACAAATAAGAGATCTAAGTTTCGGAGAAGTAAGGAACTTGCCCACCAGGTACATGACCTGGGACTCAAACCTGGGTCTGAACTTTCAGTCCTACCATACAAGTAAGGACTTCTTTCTCACCCATGAGCCTCTGAGGGTATTTCTGTCCCCCTTCGTATAAGGAGATAAGAACTGAGTTCTCTACACAAAAGCACCAACTGCTCTGGAAAGCATCTCAAAAAGGGAATACAGGACTGCCTAGAGATGGAGAAGAAGTTTAATATTTTTGCTGCCCATCTTATGGAGAGAAAGCATCCTAGACCTTAGGCTTTAGATCTCGGGGGAAATAAGACAGAAAATATGCAACGTGGCACCTTGAAACCCAGGAGACAGACTCTATTCTTCTTGGGATGTTCCTGGGACCGGCCGCCAGGGAAGCGAAAGTGGCACTCCCTGGGGCCAAGGTGACTTGGTCCCCAAGCCCACCAGGCAGCACTCTGGGGTAAGGGCATAGCCCCATGCCCAAGAGCAAGGTCAGATAAATCAGGGCTCCTCCAGTTCCCTGACAGTCCCCATCTAGTTCTTTCTTCCTGTTTCCCAACATGCTGACAAGAGGGATTTTCTGTTCTCCTCCCTTTAATGTTTACACAGAACCTCCCACCGTGGCATCACGTTTACTTGGCCAGGAATGACTCAGAGAAATGTTTGGGGTAGGAGGAAAAAACTGGACGAAACTCAGTTTTAAACTAGTTTAGAGCAGAGGCTCATTTGTACCCTTGGCCTCCGATCAATCTATGGCTGGGTAATTCACCTGCTTCTGCTCCTACTGCCTCTCCTGTGAAACGGAAAGAGTTGTGTGGTACTGACTTCTGGAAAGGTTTTAAATAAGCCTCAGTCAGTGGACTCAAAACAATCTCACGATCCCATATGACACATATAAATGGTGAACAATAGCGACTCCACATTTACGCGGCGTGTTTTCAGTGTTCTTTCCCCTGGTTTTCCCGTTCAATCTTCTGAGAATGCACCTGGGTGAGGAACCTCTGTAGAACAGTGTCCCTAAAGCTGCAATCACTCCCTGAGGTTTTGTCCTCTAGGTACAGCCAGAGGACAAACAGCCAAATCTGCTTCAGCCACAGAGGGTTGGACGGACAGAAGCCCCAGAGGACCCTAAACAGAAGCAAGTTTGCGCCAATCTGTCCTGGCCAAGCGTCATTTTGGCCCTATGTGAAACAAAACAGACTTGGCAGAAAATACAGAAGTAGTGACCAGAACTCATTCAACACCGTCCAGCCCCGTGCCTCGGATCCCACATCCACCCTCGTTCTCCCCCTGTGCTTCACTCATCCCTTCCCGTGTCTTTAACCGATGTTTGTCTAAAGGAGGCAGTAATTCCTGTAAAGGGAAGTGATAACTAAAATTTAATACTCTGCGCAATTCCCCCAAGAAATACCACTTGATTCATAAAAATCGTAACAACCGTCATAATGAAAAGGGGTCAAAGGGGTAACATAGTTTTCCAAAGAATCTTGTGGTTCTCCCTCCACCCCTCTTCTTACCCTACTCACCCCTGCGGGAGTCCATCTGCTGTAGAAAATGTGAAGGCACTAGGACCAGAGAGCCCTTTCCTGCCATTCGCTTGAGAAACAAAGCCTTCCCTCCTCCCAAGTGGAAAGAAATAAAGGAGTCTGAGCTAATCAAAACCTGCAAGCCTCCTGGTGGAGTTTCAGCTTGTCAGTGATGCAACTCAGCGGAGTGAGTAGCGGCTTCGAGCTTTGCAGAAAATGAGAGAGGGAGAGAAACAGAGACAGAAACACAAAGAGAAAGAAAGAGAGGCATTAAGCTGGCCAGGAGTCAAACAGGTGCACGGAGCGCGACCGCTGAGCAGAGTGTGTGACACACGGAGGATCCAACTGTGTGTGCCTCAGTGGGTCTACTTTCTGTGTGGGGGGCCGTGCTCTGGTCTGCGTGTCAGGGCTGTCCTGAGATTCACGGAGAGATTTTTTTTCTTATTCACAGGACTCATACAGTTGGCCGAGAGCCTCTAACTCTTCTCTAACTGCCAGCGTGAAGGCTGTGTACACTTTCAGGCTCTCTACCATGAATTCTCTCATGATAGCGAGAGAAGGCCAGAACGTGCGCCTCGTGTACTTCCACCATGAGCTACAGATCTCTGCGGTGCCTCTGGAATAACGGTTGTGGGAGCTCTGCTGCTGCCAGGCTGAGAGAGTCTGCGGCTGCTGGACCGTTCGTGCACAGGCAGCGACATCAGTCTGGATAGGCCGCACGGGGGGCCACACATGGTCTCTTAAGACTCTTCCAGGCCTGGCCACACTTCAAATGACTAGCTTCTGTTAAGGATCTTAAATTTGCCGGGGTCCTGTCTCAGAACAAGCCAGCTTGGACTTCAGGGGGTTAAGAGGCTCTAGAGATGGAAGGCTGTGCCATCGGTCTGTAAGCTGGCTTACAGGCGGATGTTGAGAAGGAAAGGAACGCAAGCAGAGGAAGGCCAGGTGTTAGACCTTCAGGAGAAGGCCCCAGTGGAGACGGTGCCCACCAAAGGGGCCACAATTCAGCAGGGCTAATGCTGGGTGGCTTTCAATGTCATTTTAAGAAAATGATGCCAGCTCTGGTGGGTGTTTAGTCTTTTAACTTAAAATGTTTAAGGACTTGATAACCCCGTTATTCAGAGGACCCGGTTTGCCAGCTGTCATACCGTGGCCCACACACCTCTCATAGATAGTTCCTGTGAGCCTCGGCCCGGCCTACAACCCCAGCCCCACACCTGCACGGGAGTGGGTTTATAGTTAAAGTGTGGTCTTTACCTGAAATGCGCCTGGGCACGTCGGTGATGGCAGGAAGCCCCGTGCCCCGTGTGGAAGACAGCGGGGTGGTGGAGTGAATGGACGGGGACGTCATCTGGCTCAGGTAGGAGGGATAAGACTGGTCATAGGACCACGGCGGGGAAGACTGTGCCTGCCTGGGGTCTGGGAAAAAGAAGAAAAATCTTTAGTGTACTGGCCACTTGTGGACTTCAAACATGCAACCCCAAACTGAGAAAGGAGAAAGCAAGAGTAAAATGACACTCTATAAGGAAGTGTTTATTTCCTTTGACCCCAGCCTTTCAGGCCCTGTGTGGCACACAACTTTCTAGTTTCAGAGTGACAAAATGGATCGTGCACATCGACTATTTCTCACTCACACATTAAGTGTTTCTATTTGGAAAGTCTAATGGATACTTAAAAAACAACTTGCTTCAGTTATCTTTACAAAATTGAATTTTACTTTATTTATTTTCTGTATCTTCTCATATTACTTCCATGAACACTTTTTATAACTCTCAACTTTTTTTTTAAGTCAGATTTTCTTTAACAACCAACTTAGCTAAAGAACAGTTTCACTGTACTTTTCCCTGCAGCATACCCAGCTGCTATCTTTCAGATGTGTCTTTTGGTTTTAAAGTGCAGAATTCCATGATTTCACTTTCTCTCCAGGCAGGTCAATGGATGGCACTTTCTAGCAGGGAGGGTTAGGAGGTTGGGGGTCGGGAGGAGAACAGAGGGAGCAGCATGTGAGAAAAACCCAGAGGAGGACAGTCAGTTACAGGATTCTCATGCTAGAACTACTCCAGAAAATGACCTTTAAGAAAGGGATAAGCTCAGATCATGATCTCAGGGTCCTGATCTCAGGGTTGTGAGATCAAGCCCCTTGTCAGGTTCTGTGCTGAGTGTCAAGCCTGCTTAAGATTCTCTCTTTTCCTCTCCCTCAGCTCTTCCCTCCACCCCCCAACTTAAAAACAAACAAACAAACCAAAAAAACTGGAAAGCTTCATCACCATACAGTTTCAATGTTAAGCATATGAGTTTCTGACAGAAAATGACCCAAAAACAGAAGAGCAAGGACACATCTTTAATCTTACTGGAATCTGTTTTAAAGATGCCACATGTTTGGAATACAGCCTAGTGTTACCTACCGTCACTGTAATAATAAAAATAACAGGCAGCCAACTTGTTAGGGTTAACTGCTGAGCATTAACAATATCTTTTGATGTATCTCTATGGGGTTTCCTGGAGGCACAAGTTCAAGGCCAAGTACATTTATCAAAAGAGTTTCAGTCTACAGAAGAAAAAAACGTAAATTTGTCATATATTTCCAGTGTGCATTTCAAATTAATTTTGTTCTTACTGGAAGGCTAATCAAACAGATTCATAAGCAAATTTCTCTTAACTTTTTTTTTTTTTTGCTACTTCCAAAATGTTTTGCTAGTTTTAAAAATTCTAATACACCAGGCTGTTCACAAGACAGCATTGTATACTAGAATATTCAGGGACTTTGTGATGAGCGGAATGGGGTCAAGTTCTAAGACTTCTACTTTCTAGCTGTGTGAACTACCCAGCAACTCTGAGCCTCGGTTTCCTCAGGTTATATCCGAATCACAGTTTGTAAAAATTACAAGAGAAAACTAGGGGCGCCTGGGTGGCTCAGTGGGTTAAGCCTCTGCCTTCGGTTCAGGTCTTGATCTCAGGGTCCTGGGATCGAGCCCCGCATTGGACTCTCTCCTCAGCAGGGAGCCTGCTTCCTCCCTCTCTCTCTGCCTGCCTCTCTGCCTACTTGTGATCTCTGTTTGTCAAATAAATAAATAAAATCTAAAAAAAAAAAAAATGTCTTCACAAGAGAAAACCATATGGAGAGGACTAGCACAAGGAGGCACCCAGTAAGTATTGACTCTTATCTTAAAAAACAAAACAAAAACAAAAAACCTCCCGGTGACACAAGGATAGTCCCACAGTTAGAACACATCTGAATTGGCACTAATACATTTGGACCAGGCTTAAAACTATTCTCCTAACACCTATCAGCCTCTGAAAATGAAAAGCTTAAGTTTTTAAAACAATATGTTTGAATAGTCAATGCAGGCTTATCTCTAAAAATAAAAATGAGTACAACAAGACATGGGTATTTCTGAAATGGTCCCTCCTTTAAAGCCTCTTGGTTTTTCCATACAATCAAAGCCAGTTAGTTTCAGCTATTTCTTGTTTATTTGTTCAATTCAGAAACAATTTATTTAAAGGCTGTCTAAATAGGACATACTGAGTCAAAATAATGAAATACATCTGGATATTTATCTGATGTTTACTGTATCAACAGATACATAGGAAAATTTCATCCAGCTCAATTTTAGGGAACATTTACTGGATTTTGCAACTTGAAAAAAAGTATGGTACTGTAAATGGTTAACAAACTTTTCCTTCAGAAATCTAAGGGGAACTTGGTCATTAAAGTAATGAACTTCTGTGCTTTAAAATGTTCAAGGCTGAGATTGTATAGATTGGCAACATTTCAAATCAGAGTGAGTGGTCCTTGTGATATATCTGATACCAACATACTTCCTTGTTTTAACCATTAATGTAATTCATTACATTTCAGACGTAAATACAAATGACCTTCAGATGGAAAAGGATGCATTCCTTACAGCACCCGAAGGCGATCTCATAAAGGCAAGGCCTTCTCTCAAGCCACGTTTTCAATAGACAAAAAGGACCCATAGATAACCCATAGATAACTGAGCTGTGCACACAGGATTCCGATCCGGATTTGAGTTCTAATCTAACCTGACCAGATACCTTCTGAAGCAAGCAGTTTAACCTGCATGTCTGTTCCTCTACTGTAACTCGCTGTTAGCAGTAGCACAGGGCTCCCTGCCTAAAAATGGGAAAAAATACAAAGAAGTGTAAAGAATGACTAGAAGTATTAATGTTTAAAACATATCACTGAGGAATCGGGGAACTTAATGTGGGCAGCCTTTCAGTTCTCCTGGAGCAGGCGGGCAGCCCAGTCCAGGGGGAACAAGTGAGCTTTCTAGTGGAAGGATAGGAGTTGGAACCTTGGCTCTATGATTTATAAGCTGCATGGCTTCAGTGGTGGTAGGGAACTCTCTGAATTTTGGAGGGGAGACAAGCTCCCCTCAGTGCTGAGCAAGCCACTGAAACTTCCAGGGCCTCAACAGCTCATCTGTAAAATGGGAATAAAGACGCTTCTTAGGGTTGCTGGGAGCATTCCATGAACACGGCCTTATCTGATAAGTCATCTGGCATTCCTGGTACATATTAAGTACATCATAAATATAAGTGATTATTGCTAGCTGTGAAATGAGTACTGTAACAACAGCTACCTTTTTGTTACAAAAGTAAATGAGATAATGTAAGTAAAAGCATTCGGTAACTGTCAAGTGCTATATTAAAATTATTACTGCTCTTCTTTAGGAGCTCACGTGGTCAAGGCCCTGCTGTGTGACAAGGGTTGGGTTTCTTAATGTTGCTGGGCTTCAATCGCTTCACCTGTAAAATGGGTATGATACCATCTCAGAGCTGTCGTAAGGACTAAATAATACACAGGGAGTGGCAAATCATCATTCAAAAAAATTAAAAATCTGACTCTAAACCATCCAGGAGGGCTGGGTTGTCTCGTGTTATTCTTGAAGGTTTCTAAGATCAGACCCAACACAAATAGTAAATGCTTGATAAGCAAACATTCAAGGAACCTCCCAGGGTGGTTTGAGTGAATAATGAAATTTTATAACGAAGTAGTAATTAGTCATCCTCTAACTTCCCCTCAGGTGATAAAAGAAGTTGTATCAGTGAGGGTTTAGTTTTTATATCATGTCCCTGACTTCCAGTTCCAGGATATACACCAGAACAGTCTAACAAAGGACAGTTTTGCTTTTACCAGAGGTCCTACCTGAAGATCTCCAAGATTAGCGAAAATCACTTCTCACTATCCTTAACAAGTGAGGTCTCTCTTTTTGTTTTTTTGTCCCAGAGGACAGACTGACGAGCCAAGCCAATCTTTTTCAGGGTGACCATCTTATGATTCTATGATAATGACCAACTTAAGGAGAGAGAGTTGCTATAAAAAAAATAAGACACAAGAACTGCCACATGGGGGTTCACTAGATCTCATAAAAAATAATTTTAAAAAGACACAGTAATCTCTAAAAAAAAAAAAAAAAAAAAGTAACAGTCTCCAATAGCCCAAGGCCTTCTCTAATACGCTGTGAATGATGTCATCAATCCCAACTCCACTGTTTCTGACCTGTGTGATCTTGGACAAATCATACAATCTATCCAATCTTCAAGCTTCCTAGTCTGTAAAATGGGGATAAATAAGAAGACCTTCCTCCTCAGGTTGTTGGGAAGATCAATCGAGATAAAGTAGTAAAGAGTGAGCTCATGAGAAGAACCCAACACATGTTCACCACTGTTAAGACCTCTACCTTTCCCAAACCTTCATTCTGCGTTAGTATTTCCAGCCCATATCTCTTATCCTAGCAGAGGACAATTTTTAGAAAGCTTCCTGTAAGTTCTGAAGTCCACTGTTTGGAGAAAATATCCACGTGGGTCATGTCAATAACCTTTATGATCATTTACCTTTAACCGCGTTCTTTCTTAGTCCTGGTTTCTCCCAGACCGAGAAATCCTAATCAGTTTAGTGTATTTTTTAATATGTACACCTTAACTTTTTTCAAACCCGTAGTGGAAAAAAGAGCTATGTATAAAATATCTTGACTTCCTAAATGTCCCATCACCAAGAAAACATAATCCTATCTTAAATATACAATTATAGCATATTTGCTTTGTTATGGACAATTATTAATGCTTACAGTAGAGAAAAGTCACCTTAACCTGATCTCATTAGCAGTTTTGGAACTCAACTTCCTGAAGAAACTTGAGACTTCTGGGATTCGCTCTGAACTTGGGTGAGTCAGAGCAGGTGACAGATAAGGTTTTCAGGCATCACTGTTCAATCCTAAGGTTGCTACCCGGGAAGGGCGTAGGGCCTTGCTCTGAGACAAACCTACTAATTAGCCATTCACACACAACAAACGGTCTGCACCCTGACTTCAGGTCCCACGGGGCTGAAAGAACCCTCTCCTTCAGTCCATCCCGCCCAGAGTTAGAGCAAACTATTTGTCCCTCTAACTCTGCAG